TCGCCGCCTTCGATATCGAACGTGGTAAAGAACATATCCCAGTTCCTGCCATCATTTGATCAACTGCCCGGCGTGCAATCTATTCGAAATGGATTGCCAAACCGGCGACCGGTGTTGAGTTTACCACAAGGCTTTCCGACAAGCAGCGGTGGCAACTTCGTACCACCTCCGTTTAAAAAGCCTTATCCCCCAATCACAGCTCCGGACTTGAGCCAAGAAGAAGATAATAAAGTAATTGACACAGAGCCGACACAGAAGCCCATCTCGGTCCAATCCACAAGGGTCTCTACTGCATCGACACCGCGTAGTCGCACCAAGCTGACACCAATAGCTAATCACACCTCAGACAACTCTCTGCCCCCTGAGGCAGGCTCAAATCAAGATCGCAAGGACGACAGCAGTCAGGGCAAGCTGACTGATTTCAACTTAAAGTCCTTCGCAAGTCCAATTATCATTGGACTTTGTAGCATTTTTGCAATATCTTTGACTATTCTCGCCTATGTGTGTCGCAGTCGCTTGTGCGCTATCAGCAAAACGATGAAGAAGTCCAAGGAGAAGGAAGAACTCTCCAAGAAGTCCAATCCTAGTCATCTCAGCAACACGCTAACCGACGACAGTCGCAATTCAATGGTCATGCAACAGTGGCAAGGACCTTCCGCCTTCGGCAACCGCTACGTGCCCTGGGAGCGGGATCAGCAGCTGCCAATAACGGTAACTCAATTAAAATAATGTATAATGTCTAATTCTAATTATCATCGCACTTTTTCAGTCATCATATCAACCACCACCAAATGCAGTGAACGGCATCGATTCATCGATGTCAGCCGCCGCTGTGGGATCAACCGGCCTTACTAATGGTGCGCCTAACGGACGTGCAGCTGTATCAGAAGGCGGCTTTGGCACTGATCTCGTCACCGATCATTGGGAGTTCCCAAGACATCGACTGAAGTTTTTTAATATACTGGGTGAAGGTGCCTTCGGACAAGTTTGGCGCTGCGAAGCAACTGGCTTAGCCGGTAAGTATGCGAATGGCCAATTACATTTCAATTTGCGAAAAAGAATATATAAACTGGGTAGCATTGCGCATTTGTTACACCATAACCAGATAGGTCAGATAGAGTGAATGACTTTTTCTTTTGCTTTAATTTCAATTTCATTTCCATATTTTAAGGGTTTTAATCGCAATTTTTATCAATAGGCTCCGCAGAGGTCACTACAGTTGCAGTGAAAACTTTGAAGGAGAGTGCAGATGAAATCGAAAAAAAGGATTTGCTCTCCGAATTAGAGGTGAGTGCTTTAAGTATCTAACCGAAAAAAATAAATAAGTATAATTCCCATTATACGGGTTGGCCATCTCACGACTATTCATAATGGACCAGATATACAAGGAGAAACACGTGCATCGACATCCTCTACTCTACTCTAGCTTTTAGTTCATTCATGATTTGAAAGGGTTGAATGTTGTTGCTTCGTTGATCTAGGAGTGAGAGTCTATAAATTAGTCTATAATTTAATGGTTATATGAGTACATGGAGAGATAGATAAGATGTTCTTGAAGTCCGGCATTACTCCAATGTACTGCTGCAATACTGGGGAAGTATTGACTTGTTCTTTCCTATCCAAGTTTTTTATTAGAGTTGTAAACAACGTTCTTAGCAAATACTTCTACTCCTTAAACGCAAGCACATAGATTATATTTATTAGGTTATATTTATACATATATTTATACATTAGTCTGGAGCACGTTTTCCGTTTCCTGGTCTTTTGGATACTCACTTTCTGGGCAGAGACTACTGACAAATACTACACTCTGCCCATTTATTCTTAACATTATTTTTAGCCATACTCATCTGTGTGTATGCTTAATATGTATATATTTTATTGCATTGGTTTATTCACCTTTTTGCATCACTTAAACTTATTATTAGTGTATGAGGAGCGCACGTTATCTCCATGTTATGCACTTGCCAAATTACTTATTACACTCATGCTGGGTAAGTTCTTATACTATGGAAGCCATTTGAACCGCACAACAACGATGATTCGGTCAGGAATACAGAACAGCATCGGGAAACACTTTTGCGGACTGTTGGCCGTCCGCAGACATTACGAACTAGGCACACGGGCTTGTTATCGCATTATACATTTTATATGAATCTGTGGAAACCCGGGGCACAAAACGGAGCAAAGACATGAGCCAAGAGCTTCCGCTCTGACGCCTGGGCACAAACTAATTCCTGTTGCTGCGAACAATAATTAGTGTGACTGAGTGCGCTAAGATGTACAATTGTGATTGAGTCTCTTTAACTCTCCGGCTCTCTGATACTCCGACATTGCGAGAGACCTGCGCACTGAAGCTCTTCGGAGTCCTGAATAGCTCGTTAGACTTTCATTGAATCGTAGCATTCGATAGTATTGATTTGCCAGCTAACTTGAGTGGTTCATAATACAATGCTCATCATTCGTTTCGTATTTAATATAAAAATATTTACTCATACTTTTCTACCAGTTAATAATATTATCTTCTTCTATACCTGTGAACTTATGTTTTGTTTCACTATTACAGGTGATGAAAAGTCTGGAGCCTCACGTAAATGTCGTTCAACTTTTGGGCTGCTGCACAGAAAAGGATCCAACCTTTGTGATACTCGAGTACGTTAGTCGAGGAAAATTGCAAACATATTTGCGAAACTCACGAGCAGAAAGGTGATCTAATTCAATAATCAATCATTTATTTAGGATAGAATAAGAATTAATTTTTCACAGAACAATACATTTTTTATATTTCCTTATACTTTTACCATTATACCTATACTTATGTAGTAGACGATCGCTTCAAGTCTTTGTTTTTTAACGTTTGTATGAACAGGCATTATGGAAATACTCACGGCAAATCAAATGTGTTGACATCAGGCGACTTAACTTCCTTCATGTATCAAGTTGCTAAGGGAATGGATTATTTAACGTCGCGCGGGGTAAGTAATCCTGAATGTCAATTCAATTGAAATTACATCAAAAGCTGCACACAGTTTACACGTTTACATTTTATAACTTGTGGTAAAGGCGAACTTCTACTCCTTATTTTATTAGTAGTCTATATAATTAATACGAATTTGTAACAGATAATCCACCGTGACCTTGCTGCGCGCAATATTTTAATCACCGATGATCATACATGCAAAGTTGCTGATTTTGGATTTGCGAGAGATATCGTCACATCTAAGATCTACGAGCGAAAGAGCGAAGGAAAGCTTCCAATCAGGTAATTAGCAAATAGCCCAGACAGTATGTCAACCATCTAGTTTCCATCATTCCTGATTGATTGACAGGTTCTGTGGTTGGGACTAGATCCAATTGTCTATTCTAGAATACAGTAACTAAGTTAGCTAATTACCATAAAGAACGATAATTTGTGATTCGACTCTTTACATACCGTTTACCAGATTAATTAATAAATTTATAACTTACTTGAACAATTATATATATTTTATTTTAATAATTAAAATATTAAATTATTTTTACTAATAATAGTAATACTACATATGCATATATAGATATGTTAAGAAGCTTAGATTTTTTATGCGCCACATATATCATCATATCTGAAAAACTTTGATATATTGAGTAGTTTAGCAGACAGATAATTAATTATCAGTACGCCCAACAAAAACATGATTGCGAAACTTCTTTGCAGTACAAATTCGTAGTTTACTGTGTATTATCTTTATATACACCAATATTTTGACATTCGAGCCATACTTAATTATATTATTCAATATGTACTACTGAAATAGTGAATGTATACCAATATTTTCTTTGGTTTTAGGTGGATGGCTACAGAATCACTTTATGATAATATATTTTCAATAAAATCGGATATCTGGAGCTTTGGTATATTAATGTGGGAAATCGTTACATTGGGCTCCACACCTTATCCAGGTATATCGGCTGCCGATGTCATGCGCAAGGTAAATTAAAACTTCGCACTTTGCTGTATGTCCAAGGCGATTTTCATTTTCATTTCCCATTTTCAGGTTCGAGACGGATATCGGCTTGAAAAACCAGAGCATTGTAGAAGGGAGCTCTACAATATTATGTACTACTGTTGGTCCCAAGATGCCAATGAGCGACCAACGTTCGCAGAGATAATAAAGATGCTCGACAAATTACTGCACACTGAAATGGACTATATCGAATTGGAACGTTTTCCTGACCATAACTATTATAATATTGTGAACCTCAGTGGAGAAAAATTATAAGCCACAATGATTTATTTACAAAAAAAAAAATAAATAAATAAAATTAAAAAAAATGGAAAAAAGGAGGGGTCGATCACGCACTGCCACGAAGAGCTTTATTATATGTAAAATAAGTAAGAAAGTATAGTGTCTTTACTATATTTTTGCCTTAATATTTATTGTATACACATTTTATTTTTATAATTATTATATTTATTATTATTGAATGTAAAATAACAATCGTTAATAAAAAAAATGAGATGAATACAGTATTTCTGCCTCAATGGTTTTAAGGTAACTGAAACAAATTTTCTATCGATCAAAACAACTTTTGTATATTTTATATATTTTGCTTAGTTCATGAACATCCGCTAATATTAATAATATATAACACTTTTATCCAATTGCCCCTACTATGAATAGAGATCTCATATATGTAAAACTATCAAAACTTAAGCCCTATAACGTAAGCATTAATGACAAATGGCATATACAATTATATGCACGACAATCGAGCTATTATTGACCTCCATTAGAGATGTATCAAAAGGAAACTAGAGTTCATAATAATTAATAATAATACATTCAGTACTCGTGGACCCTAAAAGAGTCACATGAGACATTCTGGCTAATACTTAATATCATATACGAATATATTCTTGATGAAGATGACGAGTTGATCTAGCCATATTTGTATTCCCTAGGTATATCAATGTCGAATTCTATAAAATATATACATATACATACAATATATTACATCTTTTTTAGCTCTTATGTAATATGAAATAGAATCTTGGATCTCGTATAATAAGCTCACAAATTTTGTTAATGCGTCCCTAGTGCGTCGTCAATCAGATTCTACTGTATATATATTAGAATATAACATATATCTTATATAGAAATCTTATTATAATTGACTATGGCTATAGCCCTAATCCTACATCGAACAAATTCACAGTCGCGACATATTAAGTGCTTAGCAAACACAGGAATAGGAACAGGAACCGGCACGGGCGCAGGCGCAGGCGCGGGCTGGCAATGTTGGCTGAGAAGTCAGACGTTAGAGTTGTCGTCACGATAACATGCGGATGTCTCTGTGTGTGTATATCAGCAAGAGAGCCATATTCTCGTTCGCCGATCATCAGTTGAGGGCAGCCAGTCGGCTCTGATCTTAAGTCATGGCCTAGCAATGTTTACTGATTGTCTGCCTAACCCGGTTAAGAGACGCTTAAAAGTACTCTTATATTATTTATTTTAAATTATATTTAATTTGTTCTATTAAGATAGAATTTGTCCAGATGAAGACAAATTGAAGTCTATATTTGTGGTGTAGATTAGAAATCTAGAGAACCGCCGTTAGTCAATGCTATTACTACATACGGGTTTGATTAGGGACTTTCATTAGAGGTGCGGATGAGCATTGTGTTGGGCGCCGGCTAATTGCATACTGGCCTCGCGTGTCGCCCTGCACCGCAAATCGCATTTACATTATTTATATTACATCTATAAAACCCAGATTCAACCATAATTAGCGACACATTTGTCGACAGAGATCAAGACAAAGATCGGCGCAGTTGATCCTTTTATGGCTGGCGCTAGGATTTATATGCACTTCCTTTCACATTTAAAGGGCGAACAACTACCTGTATGACCCACTTACATTCATGAAACGGTGTATTCCGACGCATTCCGGCGCATCGATGTCGCCCACCAGTGATCAGCCTCGTCAGCGTCCGCGTCCGCGTATGCCCGGGGCTGTTGAATTGCGTTTTGATTCTCGCTTGCGCAGCCGTCGCCGACTGTTGTGTGGCGGTTGAGCTACCTGTGTTTGGTCTGTGTTTGGAGTGGAAAAGCGCTAATTCAACTGATGTATGGGCTGTCCTTTAATTGCCAGTGCATGCATTAAGTATTACTAAGAAAGACAAGGTCGGCATCAGTCGATCGCCAGCTACTACCACTCTCGCCTAAATGCCGATTGCCGCTCTGACTCGATCGACTGCGGCCTTTGTTTATATGCCCGAGTAGTATCCGTAGGTATGTAAATTACATTATGTGATGTGACCCGATGACTTCCAGCCGCAGCAGAATGGTATTTAAGCCAGCTGTGGGCAGAATTCGGGGTCATTCGGGATTGGACATCGTAAGAAAGAAGACGTGTACCCAAGATGAATACGAGCATACCATTTCTTGTGCTTCTGGTGGTAGTGCCTCTGAACATGTCCAACGGACTTTACATTAGAAACAACAATGCTGCCCCAGCAAAGGCCGATGCTTCAGCCGACAGCCGCAACGACGAATGGGGTGTTTTTCAAAATCGACTCGGATTATCCCAAGAAAAAGGTAAGCTAGAGCTTACTTCCATTTCAATGCATAACAATTGAATAACAGTGTCTTTCGTTTGCTTTAATTTATAGTTGAGCTTCTGAAGTCACAGAAGGATCAGCTGGGAACAAAACAACTGCTGCACCGTTTCATTTTGGAGAATCCAAAATATTTAAGTGCGAAATCGACGAACGGCAGGAAGAAGTCAAAGTCAAGTAAATTGGCTTTCAGCCGTCTCTTTCGAGCTTTGGCAAAGAACATTAAAAGTGCAAAGAGCACGTTCAAGACCTCCTTTCAATTCGAGATGTCGGATAGACCTACAAAGCCCCTAAAGCGGACTCGCCGAAAGATCTCTGTAAAGATGATGACGGACATGTCCACGGAACGAGTGGACCAACTGCTGAAAATGTTCTACCAGAAACACAATATCGAAGAGCCCAACTTTGACAGCGATGCAGCGGATCAGCATACTGATACCGATAATGGTGATTACAGTGACATAGCTTCGGATATATCGCCGCGTACATCTATGGATAGGGAGAACGACTCTGACTACGAGTACGATCTGTTCGATGATGAGGGAAACGCAGATCTCATTGCCAAATCCCATCAAAACTCGGAATACGGCTCTTTCCAAGACCTCATTCTTCAGGCGAAGCGAAAGCAATGGGAGCTGGAAAGCGAGGAGAACAAGTTGCATAGTCCTCCCGACAATGACCATTTCATATGAATGAATGGGAAAAGCCATTCAAATTACCTTCAACTAAGTGGTCTGAGGGCTGTGCAATCGCTGTTCATATGCAGGCATAGAACACAAACTTAATTTAATAATGCTTACTATTTATATAAATTGATGTTCAGGAAGGAAGTTCATCTTTGTCAACAGCTTTACAGACATACAGCTTTAAGTGTAGCTCTCCAAGTATTTAAGTAAACCAAATATAAAATATTATGAAAACTTATAAAATATTAAAATATTACAATTTATTGAAACCATTTGTATCTCATATAATATGCTAATATGCGCCAGGATTTTGCCGTACATCAGTGTTGCCAAATCAGCTTTTTTCCCGTCAAATTAGGCTTTTTTGAAAATCCAATTGCGGGAAACATTCCAAAAAAAAACAAGCAAGAACGTTGCAGTCGGGCGCTACCGACTGCGGAATACTCATTCACAGTCCGTAT